CAATTTCAGTTCTTAAATTCATTAATCAATCCTTTCATTTATGTGATAGGTCTGCATTTAAAATGAACATTTACCATAAATTAAAGGTATCTTATATTATTAGATATATTATTATAAAACATGTTTTAATTAAGGAGTTATTAATACTTCAAGTGTGAAATGATGAAATAAAACCTTGATAAAAATACATTTTTAAGTATTAATCATGGTCAGTGTTTGTAGCTTCAATGTATAGGTTTTGTATTTGATTGATGGTATCTTCATCTATTTGGAGTTCATGAAGTTTGGTATTGACTTTACAAAAACAGGATGTATGTCCTTTCTGGTTACATTTGTAACAGGTAATGGTTTTGGGGTCAAATTTTGTTTTGGGTTTGGACTAAAACGGTCTTTGAGCCTTGATAAATTTGTAGGGATTTTTGTAATAAGGTTGTTCTAGTTTGGAATAAAATTGTTGTCGATTTTTATAAGTTGATCATTTGTAAGGAGGTTTGTGGCTCGGATATTTTTTGGGTTGTGAATAGTTTCCACTGCATGAGGGTTTTTTGGTGGAAAGGTCGAATTGGTTACAGAAACTACCAAGTTCTTGTCTAGTACGTTTCATTTCCCACTTTAGATGCTTCTGGAGTTTAAGATCCTGATAGATCTTAAGACCTTCTTTTTGGGTGAAGCTTACAAGTTCACCATATGTAAGCTAGTCATTAGGTATGGTTTTCATTGTAAAGGTTTCTTTGATGTTGTTTATAACCTTTTCTCCTAAGAGAATAGGTAGGTCCGCAAGGAATTTCTCTTTCCAAAAGGGTTGGTTTGAATCTTCCCTAAGCATGACACCGGTAAGGAAGGTGTTTTTGTACCATTGAAAGTCACTTAGCTTCTTACACCTAAGATTGCAAAAGAGTTCAGCATTTTTTTCTTTTAAATAGGAAGGGTCTCCAACAAAATGTATGAAGATTGTAAGAATAAGAGTTTCTTCATATGTTTGAAAAGAGTTTATGATATGTAAGTAATTGGTGTCAATGAGATGATAATCCCACCATCCTTTTAACTGACCGGAGAAACCAACAATAAGGAGTTCAGCAATAGCTTTGTCTAGGGTTCCTGTTTGAGTTTTATAGGCATTGGTTGTCATAGTCATAGCTTTGTCTAGGGTTCCTAGTTCCTGTTTGGGTTTTATAGGCATTGGCTATCATAGTCATAACTTTGTCTAGGGTTCCTGTTTGGGTTTTATAGGCATTGGCTGTCATAGTCATTTGCTAGAGGGTGTTGAGGATATTATATTCGAACATTCCATCTATATTTCACTCATAGAGGGAAGAGGCATTATATTTATGTTGAGTAAGGATAGTTGGTTCAGTGGTTATGGAGATGTCATTCATTAATTCCAATGATTAGTCTACATTTATTAACAAAGTCATTCTTTATAGCTTTTAAATTAACATAAACTTGTTAAAACTCTCATGGTAAATGAATGTTTGAATTAAAATTATGATCGAACTCTTAAAATAAATTAAAACCTATATTATATTGGTTCAACAACTAGATATATCTAGAGAGTCTCTTAAAAGAACTCTTATGGCTTTCTTTAACAAACTCCTTTGCATTTATCATCGCTTTTCACGATTGCATTGATTATAGTTTAATCCTGAATTTATCATTCAAAATTCTTTCAAGTGCTTCATTTGAGATATTCAGGTTAACATTGATTATTGGTAGCAACCTCTTTGTTATCCATTCTAAATTAACAGCTTTTATATATTCAAGTTAAATGAAAGTATGATTATCTCTTAATGACTTTACCATGAATGTTGCACTACCAAGAACCAAATAAGCATATATCCTTCATGATATTTTTTAAATGATATTCATGCTTTATTTTATATTTTCTTAAAACATAATTAAATTGTAAACATTAATGAAAAATTGACATTCTTCAAACTTAATTGATTTATCAAATGCAATCTTAAATCTCTTACATTTGAAACTAGTTGTTGGATTAACATTCTTATTCATCTTCTCTCAGCCACTTCCCTCCTTATCATCCTCATTACAACTTTTAGATTTTTCACTAACTTCAACACTGATATCATCATCATCACCACTTAATTTTCCTTTATTTTTAGGGTCCAAGGCACCATTCAATGTTTAACCAACAATAACATCACTATATAATCTATCAACCCGCTTATCTTTAACTTAGTTAAAAAATTCAAATTTTTCCTCGTAAAAAAGAATATAGTCATCATCTTCTTTTGATTCATCATATTCTCCATATTCATTAGCAACATGTCTAACTACTTAGACATGCTTAGGCTTAGATACCAAGACTTGTGCTTATAGGATCCCAGTTTTAAGGCCCCTAGAAATACCCTGAAAGCCCTTTAAAACATGTTTTTGATCATAAAACAACCTAAATCTTTTCAAAAAATAAAAATAATTAAATAAAAAATTAACAACTCTAATTTACAATTAGAGTTACAATTTTTTGCATTGTGATAAGGAAAACTAACCTTTATAAACTCCCTTAAAATATTCTAACTCATTAATACAAATATCATTTTTTTTTGTGACTAAATGTTAATATCCATTAACTTTATCACTATTCAATGTTTTTCAATAACTCTCTCTCCTTCCTCGAACTAAAAAATTAAAAAATAAACAAAATAAAACTTTAAATCTAAAAACAAAACTTCCAAACTAAAAGGATCAAAATTGAAGTTTAAAAATTCATATTGGCTTTTTAAATAAAAAATGCAATGGATGAAAAGTGAAAAAATAAAAAACCTCCCTTTTTTCCCTTTATCAATTTTAACCCCCTCATTTTTATTTATATTGCAAATACTAGAAACCAATTTTATTTTTTCGCAAAATCAAGTTTTAGTCCAATATCTCATATTTTTTTTAAGACTACAATGACATTTTAGAAAGTAAATAAAAAAAATTATATATTTTAATTCTCAATAAAAATAATATTAAAAAATAAAATAAAAAATAAAAAACCTAAAAAAAACCCAAATTACAGTACGGATTCATAGTCCATTGTGATTTATCTCTTAATTTAAGGGAAATCAAGACCTCCTTTGTATTTCTTTTTTATTTTTAATCTTGACACACGTGTGTGAGTATCACCTTATGAGAAAACCTAGTGAAAGATTGCACCATGCAGTTGCGATGTAATGAAGAACTTCTTAAAATGCTCTTTGGTGCCCAAAAAGAATTTCCATGCACCAAAGAGGAACTTCTACTGAAAAAATTACTTTGTTCCATTTGAATGTAGAATAAAAAAGGAGGAAAAAAAAGAGGAAGAAGGAAATAGAAATATCTTCCACAATGAGAAAGATAACTTTTACAGCATAGTGGAAGCTAATACAAGTTACATGTAGTCTAGAGTGTTGTCGGATTGAGAGATTCCGGTCATAAACAAAATTTACCAAATTGCTAATAATAAAAAGAACCATATATCTAAAGTAATGAAATCTATCACCTTAAAAGAATCGAGCTTACAGTTTATAACAAAAAATAGACGTTGAAGAAGATCACTCTTTTTTATATGAAAAACTGTAGAATCTGTTTCGATCCCTTCAGCTGGACTCCCCTCCTTTTACTGCTAATTGCTGGCTGGGAGGGGGGAAGAGCTAGAGGTGCTCATAGATAAACTGGTACCATCAAATCTATGGGCACCACCCTCGGGAGACTTCTTGCTTCCATTATAAGGCGATGTTTGCATCACCCTGCGTGCACCAACAATACCATTTTGACGTAAGAAACTCAACGTAGCACAAAAGTAAAGAGAAAATAAGTATACTATTAGTCAAAATCAGTTCCTCAAGCACATGATTTCACATTTTGTCATCATGATATCCTCGATGACCATGTCTCTATCAAATTTATCTTTTCTGCTAATATTGCCCCTTGGGGTTTGACGACCCTCGAGATTTTTAGTCCATCAAAAGAATTTTCTTTTTCCAATAGTTCTCTTATTAAAAGGAGCCTTTAACATCTGTTGGAAACTGAGTCAATAATAGTTTACTCGGTAGTAAATCCTTGAAGTTTTGCTCTTCTGCTTTTAGGAGTTAATACATTGCAAATCCATGAAGAAAACATGTCTTGAGCATCAATATATTGCAAATGAGTTGGAAGCCTATTTCAAGAATGTTTCTACTTACGTTCAAGTTATTGCCATGAATTAAAGACACTGCAACATACCTTTCCTTGCGCTTCTCCAAAAACCGAGCCAACGATGCTTTACGAGCCTGAGGTACAGCCACTGCTAAGAGAATTGTGATTTCATCACAATAATATCAAATTATGATGAACATAATAATTGTAAGAAACCCAAATGTTAAAAGTAAAGCATTACACGAAGCAAACAATGCCATACCTGCTGGAACTAGAGTGGCAGAAGTAGGTCCTACTGAACTAACTGGCTTGGAGGGCTCTAATTGTTTAACAGAAGGTGCTAAAGTTACTACTGGCTTAACTATTGCTAAATCATTGGTGCTACTAGAGGTCACAGAAATAGGGCTTGGCATGCCGGAGCATGGAGCTGTAGTGTTGATTTTGTTCCCATTAAATATATCACCTACAGGTGGTCCAGGAATTGGTGCTTGTGCCTGTGCTTGGGGCGTGGAGATTGGCTTATTCTGAATCCCAGAAGGGCCACCATTTCCAGCCAAAAGCATAATGGCCTGTGCCTGGATAGACAGTGAATCATAAATGAAATTAAAAATAATAAAGATAATAACAATATTCCACCTCCATTGAAACAAATTAACTTTCAAGGTTTAAAAGGCACTGAAGTGAATAGATACCTTCTCAGGAGAAACATCATCATAAACACTCACTGAACCAGCGTAGAATATGGTCAACTGAGCAGGTGCTCCAGAGGATTTAGCACCATCCCTACAAAACAGATTCAAGTTTAACTTGCGATTCCAGCCATGTTTAGGGGATTATTAAATAAAACTGCAAGTACAAACAAGAAATAGACTTTTAGATACCTAAGATCAGTGGTGCCAATGATGGAACTCGGGGTAGGAAGAGCAGAAGCAGGGGTTATGACTGGAACTCCCCCAACAGGTTTTGAGACTAATGAATTAGTAGTAATCATGTTGTGTCCAGTGGGAGGAAAAAAGGACTGCAGAATGGGGGAGCTCTTAGAATCGTTGATTGTTTGATTTTGTTGGCTGGAGATTGGGAACATCCTCATATCCTGTGGGCGATTAACAAAATAGGCATCGAAATGCTGTTTACCATAGGTTGTCATAGCATAGTGGTTTCCAGCTTGTTTATCAAGAACCATATTTTTCTACAATATGCAGAAGATATGATTAAACAATTAGCACACAGACAAAATGAAAGCAAGGTTAAAACGTTCACCCACTTCATATTCATTTTACTCAATAATATGCAAATAGTATCTCATGACTAATTTTCAAGATTCTAGTCCAAGGCTGATCTTCATTTCCTTCACATGTGAAATAAAATTGCGGCACACAGCTTAACTAAACATTAGTACAAAGGACTGCATAGTGGGAATCAACATGAAACCTGAATCAAGGCAGAGTATGATTTCTGGTTAGAATCAAAAGCATCAGCAGTTGAAATTGACATATAGCCAGAGGATGATGATGCCATGGGATCATGAACAGCCTTTCTTGGTTTATCTTCCATGGAAGACTTGAACGACAAGAATTGAGGAATGGCAGAAACCTTGTTTGAAAAAGACCACTGCATCCCTGAACCTCTCATGGGCACTGCAACACCAAAGAAACCGGCAACGATGTCCTATTAGTTGTGTCCATGATTATCATCTCCATTTAAATTTAACATTTGATCTGATAATAAATAAATAAATTTGTAAAGACCGTTCAATCTTTTAATTTATATTAAGCACTTAAAACCAAGAATCAAATGAAAAATCCTCAACTACTGTTTGTTGAAGGAGAACAGGAGATTACAGTGCTCGCTCAACTAAGCAATGTAGCAAAATAGAATCTTGATATATTCATTGAGAAATCATGAGTGGACAAAGTCGAAACAAATTATCAAGACTTTTATACAGTACAGCTATGGAATTGTGATGAAAAGAAAATCCTGCACGAGTAATCAACACAGACATGCATATGCTAAAGGATAAACACACGAATAATGATCCATGCTTCAACACCAATAATTAAGCATCTAATGGATATATGGTTACCTTCCAAAAAAGACTGAAAAGAACAACTGATGATCTTAGAAGCTTGGATTCGTAGTAATAAACAATAAAGCCTCCAAATTTCTCAAGGGCATGGGCTCGTGCCCCATGTTACATTTGTAATTATTTTAGTACAGAAGTTGGTTGCACCTGGGCAATTACTACTTATCAGAAGAAGCACATTTTTGAATTATAAAAATAAAAAATATATATATTTTTTAATTCCTCCTCATAAGGGCATATTTCAATCACATTCTATCTGTCATCCACTACCATTCAAGACATCCAAGTATTTAATTTCTCTTTTTTGAAGGCAGATGACCCTTTATTTTATTACATTAACAGCTCATGTTCATGTTACCAAAAAAAATTACCTTATTCTTTGTTTTATTAATTCAACACAACAAAGCTTCAAAGATTTAAAAAAAAAAGAAGAAGAAAAAAAAGCCATGTTTCAACAACCAATTCTCCAACTACAAGCAATACAAAAACACCAATCTAGCCTGACCCACAAGCGAAAACATACCACCCTTGTGCACGTTAGCATTCACCATAAGTTAAAGGGCAAGAAAACATTACGTTAAAAAACAAAGCTTGACCACTTGTGACTTCATTATTCCTAGGTTAAAAAAAAAAAGAAAGTGACTTCATTATTCCTAGGTTAAAAAAAATATATATATATTGAACAGTTGTAAATGTTTAAGGCACTTTATTGCATAGCATCCCCTGGTCCCCTTTAAAGTGATTCCTATTATAGGCTTCAAATTATTTGTACCATGTGGCCTAAACTTTCTTGTGCAGTTTAATTTTTATTCTTTTTCTTATTTTCCCCACGAGGTTTCTTCTTGAAGGAAGAAAAGCCATGTGCTTTAACCCTTGTTTGGCTCCTCGGAAATAATAAATAAAAGAAAGTAAGCAAAGCAAGCAGTAAAAAAAAATGAAGTTAATTCTGATTTCACCTTCACTTACAATTCCCCCAAAAAAACAAACAGAAACGCAAAACCCATCTCAACAGTCAACATAAAAGCACAGACGAAGAATTAGATCAGTAGTAGAAAAATAACACACCTAAATATATGTTCTTTTTCTCAGTTTCTAAGCAACCAAACAGGGTAAACTCAAGAAAAACAATATATTCAGCCAAAAAAAAAAAGTTCATATAATAAATTTCCTGTGATTAGTCATGATCGTAATGGAAAAAAAAAACTGAAACAGATAGAAGAAGAAAGAACTCGATGAAAAGAAGCTAGCATACCAGAATCCTTAAGAGGAGTATCGGTGGCCTCTTCTTTGATAGTAACAGGATTGTTTTTCGAACCCAGACCCAGAAAATCTCTCTCCATCGCCAACTTATAGAGCTTTCCTCCAATCCAAAACAAATAATTATTTCTCTTAACTGCAAGGAAAAAAAAAACTAAGAAAGAAAAATGATGCTTGCTTCTTTAAGTAGAGAAAGCAAGGAAGGGAGAAAGAAGAGAAAGAGAGAGAGGGGGGGACACAGACTGGTCTTTAATGACAACTACGAGTGCAGGAATAAGAAGTTTTTGTTTTTTATTTTTATTATTTTTGTTATAAAATTAGATTGGTGGCGCCCACACGTTGCGGGTGTAATTAATTTTTTTATCTACAAATAATTCAAAAGATTATATTTTTTTGAAAAAGTAAAAGAAGTGATTATATTCTTAAAAAAAAAAGATAAATTTGATAATAGTTAAATCTTAATTAATCCGATGATATGATAAAAAAAATAAAGTAGTAATAAAAAAAATAAAAACATTGTGGAAAAGAAAATAAAATACAAGGTTTATTAATTCTTATTAATTATTAAAACTTGTAATTCAAGTTATCAAATCAGAACATTATACATGAAAAAAAATATAAGGTTCAATCCTAATAAAATTATATTTTCAAGAATCAAATAGAAAAAAATTATACAAAAAAATAAAAATAAGAGTTAAAATTAAAATAAAAAATAAATTAAAAGGCAACAACAAGTTTTCAATTTTAAAGTTAAATTAAAAAAAATTACTAACAAAAAAATAAAGTCCAAAATAAAATATATATATATATATATATATATAAAAACTTGAATTGAATGGAGAAATATTAATTTAAAAAATTATTAAAGGATTAAGAAAAAATAATAAATCTAAAAAATAAGGATTAAGTTGAAAACATCAACAAAAAAATTGAACATGTAGAATTTTTTTAATGTATATTTTTACATAGAAAAATTTCTAAATGTCAATTGGAAAGTTTATGTATGCATATAATTAAATAAATTAGGAACAATTATGTAAATAATTTTTAAAAAAAACATTAAAAATAATAAAATAATAAATAATAAATAAATATAGATGAAGATATTTAATATTATAATATGGGTCATTTACTTAGTTATAATGATGAAGTTATTTATTAAAATTAATTTATAATAGAAATTAATACACACATAAAAAAAATTGAATAAAAATACATATTATACAAGGCTACATATATTAAAAATATTATAAAAATTAAATATTTTTTATTTTTAAAAATAAATTTGATATATATAAAATATATAAAAGAAAATACAAATGAATCATGATAACCTTTTTAAAAATTAAAAATTTTCAATATAATTAAAAAGAATCTCTATTTAAAAAGAATAAATAAACAAAAACAAATTGTAAAAAAGTAAAATACAAACTCAAAAATTATTAAAAAAAAACATATAAAAAAAGGTTTATATTTAAAAAATCAAGATTACATATTAAAAAAATCCATCACTTAACCCATGAATAAAAAGCTCATATGCGGGCTTTATGTTTTTTTTTTAGGCAGGCAATACACTCCAATTTAGCTTAAAAAAATATATATTATTTACAATCCCCTCATTCTAGCTACTATAGTGGCTAGAAAAATAGAGTATTTATTTAAAAAAAATCACTTTTGATCTAAAATATCTAAAATATTTAGAAAATATTATATATGTCTTATAAGATCAATTTATAACATTTAAAATTATAAAAAAAACTCAAAATCAACATAAAAATTAAAAATCTTCTCATGCTTGAAACTTGTTTTTTAAATATTTTTGGGTAAACAAAAAATCTAATTTAAACTCTTTTAATATGAAACCATTTAGAACAAAATTCTATATAAAAAATATAATTTAAACTCTTTTAATTATATTATATGAAACCATTTAGAACAAAATTCTATTATTTTGATAGTCAAAATCATCACAATGATAACTTTTTTTTCTATGGCGGAATCTAGTAATCCTTTTCTTTTCTTTTTAGTAAAAAAAACTGAAAATAATAAAAATAAAATTGGATATTAAAATTAATTTATCTAAAATTAAAAGAACTAATTATTTAATAGTTAAAAAAATAGGAGCTCAAATATATTTTTCAAATAAATTTGAAAATCATCATATATTTTACTTGCATTTTTCTCGGTGCTCTGACTTTCAATTCAATCTTCTTGAAAAAAAAAACATGTAATTAGATGCTAATTTAGGCTAAAAGGCTTAGTTGTGAAAGGAAAAAACTAAGAATTAAATTAAAATTTAAAAAAAATCATTACTCTAATTTACAGAAACGTGTGACATGATAGATATTCATTTTAGCTAAAAAGATTTTCTCTCGAGACTTTTCGTGATGGTATAGTGTTTTACCAAAAGAATCTTTCATTGATCCTAAGTTAAAGTTACATCATTGCTCCACTTGCCTTGTATTTGCAATATTGGTGAATCCTTTAAGAAATGATCTAGTGAGAATAAATAGATGATAAGATAATTTTTCTTTTAGCCTAACTTATATATTCATGCTTATTATGGTTTCTTATTATGGATTTGGATTAATATCAATGTTATCTTTATAAGAAACTAAAAATAAGCTATTAAAATATCTTCATCTTATATGTTTTTTTATGCATGATATTTATTATTTTATTACTTTTTAATAATTATCTTTAACTTGGTGGGTGTTTGGTAACGTGACACGAGTCATTTTTATAAAAATATTTTTTAATTAAAAATATTTTAAGATAATAGTTTTTAGTTTTTATTTATTTATTTTTAATATTATTATATAAAAACTATCAAAAATATGAAAAGAATATCAATTATCTTAATATTTTTTAAATAAAAAATATTTAAAAAACAAGTTAAACATCATAAATAAACACACTTTTAATCCCACTATTATATGGTAACGTGCTCAAGTAACCCATCATCATCATCAATATTAAATGATGGGATTAGAATCACAATTTTTTCAAATTGTTATAAAACTACATTGCAATTTAATTAGTTAATTAATATAATAGTCATCTCAATTATTTTTAAATATCAATCTAGACAACAAGACCATCCAAATATGAATTTATCATCAAAATTAAGTAAATATGACACAAGCTTTTTTATTTGTATTTTTTTGGTCTTGACATATAATAATACTTTATAGTTAATCTTGAAAAGGTGATTATTATCTAAATATAATGCCTTGGTACTTGGATAATGGATGTGGGGAGGAGGATGACGACCATCAAGATTTGGAGTCTGAGAGTTGAAGTAGATCAGCCATTCAAAAGTAACTTTCTTGCCCCGCATGAGATCTAGGCCGTTGATTTAAGATTCCTTGTTACAGTAAAGAAATTAGCTCTCTACTGGATAGGGACCGGTCAGGGAAGCGGGTGCTGCACCACGTGCGTAACAAACTCTGACAGAGAATGGTTGCTCGCTGTCGATGGCTGTTTTGAGTGACACGTGGCTTGTCTCGTGCATTATTTATTTTTTCCGGTTATCAGTTGTCGTGACACTCAAGTATCAGTTAGCCTGGGGAGAGTTATTAAAACCGACTTTGCATTTAATGTTAGTTTGTGACTTTTCAGCTTCTGGTTTAGATAAAAAGAGATTAGATGTTCGGGAGCTGCCGCAAGTTTATAAAATAAATATATTTAATAATATTATAATTATAAATTAGTGTTATATAAATAATAGAAATTAAAAATATATAATGAAGCAAATATTTCATAACAAAAAAAATAATGTTAGTAATTAAAAATTTAGAAACTGAATAAAATAATTTGTAACAATTCACAATATTTTATGAGAAAAGATATAGTCTTTTTCGTCACATGATTTAACTTTTCTGTTAATAAAAAACAAAAAAAAATTACAATGCTAAATTATCTAACAACTTAATATTAAAAAAAATAACAAAGATAATTTTAGAAAGAAAAAAATCCATACGGACAAACGTTGTAGTAATTGACAATGTTTTGTGAGAAAGACTATAGTGCTTTCCCAATAAAATAAAATAAAATAACCATTTAAAGGAATATTGTAGCAATCCACAATGTTTTGTGAGAAAAACTACACCACTTTTCCTATATAATTTAGCTTCATTATAATTATAATTTTTAATCAACTCAATAGTAAAAAAAAATCGACAAAAAAAAATTTTAAAAAAAATTATATGAAAAAACACGACAAAAAAAAATTTGAAAAAAAATTATATGAAAAAAAACTGCAACAATTTATAGTGTTTTAAAAAAAAATTATAAGACTGAATTTTTAATCAACTCAACATTAAAAAAAAATCAACATATTAGAAAAATAATATAAAAAACACAAAAAGAAGAAAAAAATCATGTTGGAAACACTATAGCAATTTACAGTGTTTTGTGATGAAAGTTACAATGCTTTCCCACATAATTTAACCTTATTTATAATGACTTGTAATTATAATTTTCAAACAGCTCCATATTAAAAGATTAAGATTAACAAAGATAATTTTGAAATAATTATATATATAAAAATCATGTAGAGAGACACTGTAGCAATTTATAATATTTTGTGAGGAAAGGTATAGTGTTTTCCCCACACGATTAAGCGTTATTACAAAGTTAAATCCCAACTAACTTAATATTTTAAAAAATCAAATCAAAGAAGACAATTTTGGAAACAAAATATTACAAAAAAATGAAAACAACACAAAATAAACTAGAAAAAAACTAGAAAAAAATCATGTAAGAAAAAATTATATCAATTCATAGTATTTTGTGAGGAAAAACTTACAATTGCAATTCTTAACCAGCTTAATATTTAAAAAATAAAATTAATAAAGACAAAATAGAAAAAAACTATGTGGGAAAAAATACTATAGCAATCCACAGTAATTTGCGAGGAAAATTACAGTGTTTTCCTCACGTATTGTAATTGTAATTTTTAACCAGCTCAATATTAAAAAATAAAATAAAAAAATAATTTCAAAGAAAATCATAAAAAAATCATGTAGAGAAACACTATAGTAATCTACAATGTTTTAAAGAAAAAATTACAAAACTAAATCTTAATCAACTCAATATTAAAAAATTAACAAATATAATTTTAAAAAATAAAATAGAAAAACTATGTGAGAAAACACCGCAGAAATCCTCAGCATTTTAAAGAAAAAAATTATAAAGTAAAATTTTTAATCAGCTCAATATTTAAAAAGTAAAATTAACAAAAATAATTTTTAAAAAGAATAAATAAATAAAAGAAAATAGAGGAAAGTTAAAAAAATTAGAAAAAAAAAGAAGAATATAGTGTGGATTACTACTATAATACTCAGTATAATTGGGTGTCAAAAATAGTAATTTTTCCATCCCTGTACTTATATGTATAATTTATTCAAATCATAGTTAAACTACTTTTATTTTAACCATGGTTAACTTTGAGAACCGTCAAAATTTAATTTTTTTTTTTAATAAAACAATGAATTCATTTTAACTTTTTCTTAAAAGGAAATCTTCATACTAACACCATTTTAATTTCATTAGAGACTCATTTTGAGAGTATTGTAGATGATTTTATATTTTAAGGTGTTTTTTTTTTAAATATATTAAAATATATATTTTTTTAATTTTTTAAACATTCATACATGATATAAAAAATAGTAATTTAATTTTTTTAAATAAAAAATCTATAAAAATCAAGATGCTTCGTCTCCTCTCGGGACTATTTTTATAAGTTGGTCGATTAAAAATCACAGCCGTCAACAAGATTAACTTGATATCTTATTTTCCTTAATAATAATAATCCGCTAAAAATATCTACAGTGTCTTCAAACTCGGCATCAAAGAAAATACTGCTTGATATCTTCATCAGTTGGGAGTTTTAAAAACAGTGAGTTAATAAACCTCGTTTCCTTTTTATATAATTTTCTTAAGAACCACGTGGTTGTTTTGCTAAATTATGATAGTGCTAAAGTAGACACGGTATGAAATTATATTAGTGGCTATCATTGAAAGTATTTTTTATTTAAAAAAATATTTTTATATTAATATATCAAAATAATCTGAAAATATAAAAATATAATTTTTAATAAAAATAAAATTTAAAACTTAAAGAAATGCAATTTATACCATGTTTTCAAATAAACTATTAGCTAGTATATGGATAAGTAGTTTAAATAATACTTTTTTTTTGTTGATTCAAAGAAATTTAGAATTGAATTACAGGGGTATTAATTAATTAACTAATTTGGGAACTAAATATCACTAGTAATTAGTATTACGCTAATATTTTTGAAAGATCATTTCCAAAAATGACCTTCATGAAATAATTATCCTTCTTGAACAAGTTTTTTTTAAAAAAAACAATACGGTAAAAAGGAAATTTTCTTTATGCATGTATACATGGCAAATGAATAAACTCTTGCTTCACATCAATCCAATTTAATAAGCCATTAAATAAGATTTTTATTAAGATTTTTGTTTTATCCATAAGCATGCCATATGTTTCTCTAAAAATAAAAATATCCTCTATCAGTAGGTCTTTCTCATTTTGAGAACAAGTTGTCCTTTGACTATATCTTAAAATACACTCCACACCACGACAAATACACTCTTCTCAGTTACAGAAAGTTGTTCTTTTCCCTAATAAAACACGCTCATTTTCTGGCTATACTATATATATCAATGCCGACATAATAAAATAATTAAAAAATAAAAAGATTTTATATCGGTGAACTCGTCATCAAAATAACATGATATATTTCATTGATAAATCTAAAAATATTATAACCGGCTACATCTCCATTATTTCCTCCTCCTCTTTAGTGTCTGCTAATTTGAGTTTGTATAGCATGAATGTAGATTTTAAAGTGATTGTTTTATTTTTTATGATTAAGGTGATTACTTTGCTTGATTTTAGTTGTTTTGTTGAAATTTGAAGATTTATATAGATTAGGTTGAGTTTCGTACGGGGAAAATGCTGCTGGAATTTTATTATAAATAAATAGATGCATTAAAACAAAAAATATAAACCGGATTTTTATTGAATATTCTTATTTATTTAGTTATATTTTCTTGATATTAAAAATAATATAAGGTCAGAACAAAACATTACTACATTATCAAACAATAATATTCTTCACCTTTTAGTTTATCTAGGTGTCAATCATAAAGAAATATCCGATGTACTATTTAACAATGTTAGCTCATCAATTACTAGTTGCATATTCAGAGTCTTATATGCTAGGGATCCATATTCTGACAAGTTAATTAAGGAATGGAAGCTGAATCTAAACATGTACTAAAATATAATTTTAGTTAAATATAATATTAAATTAATGTTAATATATTTATATATCTTGATGTTAATTATTTCATTTGTAGGTTTACAAATTTCAAAGTTGTAGGAATAATAACATTACCGATTAAAGTGTTGTTAGAGGTGCCTTTTTCCAATAAATTTATTTTAAGGATCATTCAAAATGAAGGCCTATGATTAAGGCTTACTGGAAAAAGTTCAAAGTTAGCATCTAATTAAAATTTTTAGTGGATAGAAGATGTTTTTAAAATTTAAAAATTAATTATTTTATAAAAATGATTTCAAGAAATTTTTTTTGATGGGATGAGACAAGCTCAAGAATAGTAAGATAAATTTAGAAAAATCAGAGCATAATTAAATAAACTTTAATACGTGACGTGAATTTTTGAATCATGTTGTGTAATTTCTAGTATAAAATACACCTTTATATTAAAAAAGGAATCGAATTAGATGACTTTGAGGTTGAAAGAATTTTAACCTCCTCACATTATTAAAAGCAATTAAAAAAGATATTTAGAGTTCCATACATTTACACTAGAGGACTTTAGAAGGTATTTACCGAGTGTATCTTCAAACAAAATTAAGGAGACATTATTAAGTACATTTATGAGTCACTTTTTTTTACATATCATACAAAGCGCCTCGTACGAGAACTTATTTTAATTTCAAGTGTTTTTCTTAAGATATCACCTATAATTTGTGTTTAAGTAATAAGTAATAAATTTATTTTACAGGATATATTGTTTGGACGCAAACCTGCTCTAATAACACACACACACACACAATGATTATAGCCACCTTTAAAAAGATCTTAAACTACGGCTCCAACTGATATACTTTAGACATCTTCTCAAATAAACTAATGATGAAATGCTGGCGCAATGTTTTTTTTTATCAGAAAACATGCAATAGCCTCCCCACATTTCCATCTTTTGTATCAAAAAGAAAAGAAAGGTGAAAACTTCCTGATTTTATTTTTCAAAAATTACTAATTTAAATTTTATAAATTTTAAGCCTATTAAAATTTATATAATTATTAATTTTAAATTTATAAAATTAATTGAGATATATACAAGTTAAGATGCATATAAGTTAATTCGAATATTTATGTTAATAATAATGAAAAAATAACTTTTAAAAGCCCTACACATAAAAAAATAAAACAAATAAATCCTCCCACAAGCTTTGTTCATGAAAAATATTTGGAAATATGGTTTTTTAAAAAAATTATTTGTTTATTAAAATTATTATTTTTTTATTTTTTATCATTTTGATATGTTAATTTTAAAAATAATTTTTTCAAAATAAAAAATATAATTTTAATATAAAAAATATTTTAAAAATAATCATGATTATATTTCTATAAATGCACTATTATCATCACCTATGTATGTTATGACAGTTTTATTGGATTATACTATAAAGCAGCCATGTTTTCTTCAATATATATAAACGATGCTAGTAGAGACGTGGTCACGATACATGAATCTCTCAAAAACAATAATAAAATTATACATATTTGAAAAAATCATTCAATAGTAAAGAATATCTATATCTATATCTATATATATATATATTAACTAGAGAAGAAGAGTTTATGAATAATATTGTCTGAACTTTCACATCCTTTAATACGTATTCAAAAGATCTTAAGTGTATGTGAACGGCCAAAAAAAAAATATAATAAAATCGTTATCCCCTTGTTTTATCATCTTAGTTGAAGAATGGCTATAATATAAAACGCATAAAAGTAGGTGTCTTCCACAATGGTTGTCAACTTACTAATAAAGAACAAGTGGTGGGTTGTGAAAAGTAAGAGATTATATAATACTACTCAGTGTTTTGAAAATTATGTATTTATATTGAGATTTAAAATTAAGTATTCTTATAAATTAGACTAATATCCTGAGTTATGGAGTATTATTATGGAATATCAATGAGAAAAATTGAAGGGTTAAATTGTAACTACAAAATATAATAACAACCTTGATTTAAAGAAAAAGAGTTTAATATTAAGTAAAAATCTAAAAACTGTGGGTTGTTTAATGTTGAACCAATACTGTTCACACATTCATAAATCACTATAAATTGTTAGATTTTTTTATAGAGATTACTTTTTTATAATATTATATATATTTAATTTTTTAAAAAAATATTATGATTCATCTGTATTTTTTTTTGTATATTTTATACACGAAAACTTTATTTGTGAAAAATAAAAGATGTTTACTTTAAGAGTTTTATATAATATTTTTTTATTTTTATTTTATGTAATCATTTTAATACATATGTTTATTTTTAATATTATTTTATTAAATAAAAAATTAATATTCATATATAAATTCAGTAAATATAATCGGGTAAATATTCTATCTTACAAGATTAAATATCTTAATATATATTTATTTTTTATTTTTAGTTATTATTATTATTATATATTTTATTTATTTATTAATATTTATAATCCTTGATTTATTTAATTGCACAAGCTTTTCAACTCACATTTAAAAATTTTTATATACAAAAACTCATTGAAGAAGCTTACGTGCATAATTTGTTTATATAAAAAAATATAGTCAACGGCAAATTGCGAGTCAAATGGCAAGTAATAACTAGAATGAAAGGATTACTTGTGCAATCAGGCAGCCACGAGATTAGTAAGAGTAAATTATTCCCTAGTCCTTATTTTCCAATAGAATTACAAAGTTTTTTTTTTTTCCCACTGGATCATGGAAAGAATCCAAAACGCTACAGCAACGCAGGGACTAAAAACCAATTTCCTCAATTGTTAAGGCAGAAAAAAGGAAAAAGAAAAGTATAACGGGGATTGCTATAAGAAGAAAGGAAGAGATGCCATGTGCAAAGAGCAATTGAAGATGGCCCACCTGACTGGCGGGCGAGTCACGATCGGTCCCCCAAAATAGAGAGCTTGATGTTAGATTACAAAAACACGTGGTGGTCCACGTTTGGCCAATTTGCAGTGTGACGCCCTTCCATACGTAGGCAAGGCAGGGCCTTCAATTTCTAATTATTTAATTTCTGTATTTTTTTTCTTTTTATTGAGACCACCTTATCCACAACTTGAATTTTCCTTCCGTGTATTTTAAAATTATCGGAAAATAAATTAATCGTCCCACAAAATTAATCATTCCTATTATACTTGAAATGTTGGAGAATTTGATTTTTGAATTTTTTCTCGCACAACAACTGACATTGAAAAAGTTGGTGCGCCTAGGATCAACTGACATGTGACCATTTTTAACCGGCACATGAGAACAGGTAGGCCCCACCATATTTATTAAAAAATATATACAAAATTTATAAAATAAAATAGGCGTGAAAAACCAAAAACAAAACAAACATTAAAAACTTAAAAAATAAGGGGGACCATCTTCCTGTCAAAGTGTTAGATGGTCCCCACCACGTCAGCATTTTCAAAGCTCAGGTGATAAAGGAAACTCAAATAGAAAATAATAAAAATTAAAGGTTAGACACTCAAATTGCAGCTTTTTTTAATAAAATAATACCTTCACCTGAAAAATTTAAACCCCACCTAATTTATTTTTTAAAAAAATACTTGAAATCGTGGCTTTGCAGGAAAAGTTTAAATTTAATTTTTTCTATATGTGTTTGTAATTTTTGTTATACCTAGCTTGATTATTAAACTTGTAGGGTGTTGAGAAATTAATCAATCAATTTAAATATTCGGGTTATCAAAAAAAGAAAAGAAAATGGATTGTTATATGTTATTATAATTTATTTTTTTAATGGTTATCTTTTTTAATAAATGGTTATTATAAAAAAATGATAAAAGTGACGTGGGAGTATAAATCCTTAAAGAACATAAAGGAGAGTATTCCCCCCTGCTAAGATAGATGGAAAGGGATAAACAACGCAGTAGACAAATTAAAAAACAAATCTTAAGATTGAACTTTTGGGCATGTCCTTTGTCACGATAAATAACTAGTTGAGTGTATGAAATTATATTGAGTTGAGTTGACTTCTATCTTTCCCATAAATAACTAGCCTTGATGCGCGCAATACATCGTGGGCGATTATTTTTTCCCATAATGTTTGATTGATGCAAGTGTATTCTTTTTTTAATTGAAAAAATACGGGATTCGAGTGATAGACTTTAATAAAATGAATAAGATAGTTTTAATATAATTAGACATAAAAATAATAGCATAAAAAACTTTTCTTGATTAATCTGAATTAATATAATAAATATATAACTATAATAATTAGGGTGAGCAAACCGAAAATATCTATTTAAATAAGTGCTAACTTTTTAAATTCGAGTTATTAAACTCCAATCTTAAATCTACAATATCATGAAGTATAATTCTCATTAATCAAATATTAAAAATAAATTTAAAATAAATTATATAAAAAAATTTAAAAATAGTAATTAAAAAAATGAAAATCAGAATTAAATAAAAAAATAAATTTTTATTTTTTTGAAAGGTGAAATTAAAAAAAAATCAATTTAGTAAAAACAATCAAATGAACGAGGAAAAATTGACATAAAAAATAAAATAAAAATTTATAATTAAAGGATGAAATTGAAAAATATATTAACTTTTATGGAAAAGCTAAGAAAAAAAATTAAAAATCAAAATAATGAATACCAAATTAAAGAATATAATACCATCAATTTGAATTGAAGGATAAAATTAAAAACCAAACTTTTACAAAATGACCACGAAAAAAATTAGAAATCTAAAAAATAAGAATCAAATTAAAGAATGTAATATTTGATAAATTAAAATTAAAGAATGATATTGAAAACAAATATAATTTCTATAAAAGGGATAAAATCAAAAATCAAAAGAATAAGGACTGAAATTGAAATACCAACAATAAAAAGGATAAATTTATAATTTTCAAGAGATGAGAGAGGAAAAAAGACCCACCAACAATAAATCGGACTACCAAAGATAAAATGTGGCACACCAATAATAAAAGAACACAACGACTCTTCCAATGACTTGATGAAAAAAATATATTTGGACATCAAGAGGCAATACATGTGTTGTCTGAAGTGCATTAGTGCCGCCCACATGTCTTTGGGTATCATACATGTATGCCCATCTTTTTATTTTTATTTTTATGTTTAGCCAAATACAAAATTGC